TTTCCAAGATTTTATTTTATTTTTTAAAAAAAAGTGATTTTGAGACAATGTCTCAGAAAAAGAATGCATTATTGTCTGTGTTTACAGAAAAAAAGTTAACGCTGCAGTAAACAGAACACAAACTCTTATATTTCTCCAATTGTGATGCTTAGGAATGTATTATTTACTTCTGGATTAATTTTCTTAAAGATAAGCGTGAAAAAAAAAATGCCGGAAAAGAACCATTTCCATAGCATAAGTATAAACACAGAAACTGATAAAACAAGACAGAATCATTTTAAAAGGCACACATCTAGTTTCAGCGCAGAAAGTAGGGGTTTTTAAAACCTTTTTTAGCTTGGGCCCTATCCCGCTGTCGTCAAGCTGATTCTGACTCATAGCGACCTTATAGGACAGGGTAGAACTGCCCCATAGGGTTTCCACAGAACGGCTGATGGATTCAAACCACCGACCTTTTGGTTAGCAGTCGAGCTCTTAACCACTGCACCACCACGGCTTCTTGGGTCCTACAGATCCTTGAAAAGTCTTCCTCTTAGACTTTATAGACTTCTGCAGGTCACTACCATAAACTTCAGTCCACACGGCTGTTATGGGAAAAAACAATGTCAAACGCCATCTACCGAAGGAAATCATCTCTCTTAAAGGCAAGACTGAACTTTCCCTTAGACTTCTTAAAGAAAACACAATTACTGTGAAATCTTCCCAGACCAACCCTAGCCAAATTATATTTCTGTACTTGGAATTTGAATTTCACAGAATTTCAGAGATCAAAGGAACATGAATGATGAGGAAACAGAAGCTCAGATAAACTGACTTGGCAAGAGTATTGTGACTTGTTAACCAGCAGTTTAACAAGGGCCCTTGTTTATTGATGGCCAGACTGATGTTCCCACACTAGTATACTGGGTTGTAGTCTGGTAGGTTTGTGCAATACAAATTCTCTCTCTAACCAAATTATGAGCTTCTTGAGGATAGAAACTACATCATTTATTTGTTTTGAAACTCCACGGTGACTTCCCAGTTTTGGGACTTTAAAACAATCAAATAATACTGAAATAAAGGTCTAAAGGAGTAAAGTCTAAAAGATCTAATATTCAGCACTAGATTTTGATAAAATGGCAAAATGTACTCTTTGGGATTCAGAAAAACTCCAACCCTCTACTATTTGTATGTTTGTCTGCTTGTATTTCCTGAAAGATTCTGAAAGAAGTCATCTTTTCTTACTTTTTTGGGTAAGTGTAGTTGTTCAGACTAGCATCTGAAAAGAATACACTTGATAATGTAGGAAGTAACTCCAAGACAGGGGTTATACATCAAGGACTAGGTGTCAACAATTAACTGAACCACAACAGTCTGAAAGAGGAATGAATCTGAACCAAAAAAGAAGCAATTATTCACTGCTCAATATTCAGTTAGAAAGTTGACTGTTATTGGGCTAGAAATCTTCTGATGACACAGAAAATAACAACTTGGATGTTATCTTTGAGTTTTTCAATCAAGGTGATTAGTCCATCAGGCCTGATTTGTTATGCCTCTTCCCCATAGCCACTGCACCAGTGGGTCTAGAAGCAGATATGCCAGACATTTTCCATTTGTCCCTCCAGACATTTACTCTGCTTGAATTCAACCGGCTCTGACCCTGGGATGCCAACCTGCACGGACTTCATCAGAGGACTTCCTTGCCCTCTGACTTTTACATGGGTTTGGCCAGTGCAAGGCATTAGCTGAATATCAAAGGGGAGAGCGAGGTCAGGATATTTATTTCCCTGACTTCTTCTCTGCCAGATCTCATGAATAAATTGTTTCCCTCTGCCAAAGAGAGCTCCAGTCAGACAGCCCTTCCATTGCAGCTGCTCTCTTCCTTTGCCCCTACAGTCCTAGAAGCAGTAATGGCTTCCTGCTGTTGCTAGTTCCCTTCCCCTCCCACACTGTGCCATCCTGTGTTAGTTTCTCTTAACTCTGACCATAACTTTGTAATTAATCCCTTTAGTGACTTCTTCAATTACCCTATTTGAGTACAACATATCTGTGCCCTGCTAGGACCCAGAATGACACTTAGGGTAGATGTTTTTCTTGTCTCACCTTGCCAGTTCCAGATCATTTTCACGGAGAAAACAAACTTGGGTTGCTTGTGCTCTTGGTGTCATATCTAAGAAGGCTTTGCCTAACCCAATGTCATGAAGATTTACTCCTATATTTTCTTCTAAGAGCTTTACAATTTTAGCTTTACATTTAGGCCTATAATCTGTTTTGAGTTACTCATACAAGATGTCTTTTTGCCTGTTGATATCCAATTGCAGCAGAAACTTTGATTGAAACAACTATTATTTCCTCACTGAATGGACTTGGCATTTTTGTCAAAAATCAATTTACCATAAATGGTTTATTTCTGGACTCTCAATTCTGTCTCACTGATCTATATTACTGTGTCAGTATCACACTGTCTTGATTACTGTAGTTTTAGAGTAAGTTTTGAAACCAGGAGGTGTATGTCCTCCAATTTCGTTTTTTCAAAATTATCTTGGGTATTTTGATCCTTCACATTTCCATATCAATTTTATGATCAGCTTGCGAATTTCTGCAAAATTGCCTACTAGGATTCTGATTCTATCAAAATCTGAATCTAGTACACTAAACCTACTTATCAATTTAGAGAGAATTACCATATTAACAATATTGAGTCTTCTAATCCATTAACATGGATTGTCTCCATTTATTTAGGTCTTCTTTAATTTTATTCAATTTGTTTTGTAGTTTTCAGTGTACAAGTCTTGCACGTCTTACTTGGAGATACTGTAAATGGAACTGGTTTCTTAATATCATTTTCAGATTGTTCATTGCTATTATATAGAACTACAATTGCTTATTTATAGTGATCTTGTATTTTGCAATCTTGCTAAACTCATTAGTTCTAATAGTGTTCTTGCAGATTTCTTAGGACTTTAAACACATAAGATCTTGTCATATGCATGTAAAGGTAGTTTTATTTCTTCCTATCCAACCTGGATGCCCTTTATTTCTTTGTCTGGTCTGACTGCACTTCTACAGTCCCCATTACAATGTTATATAAAAGTGGTGAGAGCAATCATCTTTGTCTTATTTCCAATCTTAGGAGGAAAGCATTCAGGCTTTCACCATTAAGTATGTTGTTAGCTGTAGGATTTTTGGGAATGCGCTTTATAACAATTCCCTTCTAGTCCTAATTTCTTGATAATTATTAGTAGGAATGGTGTTGGATTTTGTAAAAAGTTTTTTTTCTGGATCTATTGAAAAGATCATGCAGTTTTGTCCTTTATTTTGTTAATATGGTATATTATATTGATTTTCAGATATTAAATCAACCTTGCATTCCTGTTATAAATGCCTCTTTATCATGGTGTATCATTTTATATGTTGTTGAATTCAGTGTGCTAATATTCTGCTGAGTATTTTTGCATCTATATTCATGAGAGATACTGGTCTGCAGTTTTCTTTTTCTGTTACGTCTTTGTCTGGCTTTTGGCATAAGAGTAAATTTGGCTTCATAGAATGAGTTGAAAAGTGTTCTCTCTTCCTCTATTTTCCAGAAGAGTTTTTAAAGCAAAAAAAAAATAAAATAAAATAATTTATTTGCAAACATTTCATAGAATTCACCAGAGAAGACAGCTAGACCTGAGCTTTTCTTTGTAAAAGATTTTTAATTACTAGCTTAACTTATGTACTTATTATACATCTATTCAGGGATCTATTTCTTCTTGAGTCAGTTTTACTAATTTATGTCCTTCAAGGACTTTCCATTTCATCTAAATTGTCTAATTTGTTGACATAAAATTATTCATAGTATTCCTTTATAATCCTTTTAATTTCTGTGGGTCAGTAGAGATGCCTCCTCTTTCATTCCTAATTTTGGTTAATTTGCACTTTCTGTCCTTTTTTCCTAAGGAGTTCTGGTGGCGCAGTAGTTAAGCGCTTGGCTGCTAACCAGAAGGTCAGCATTTGAACACACCAGCTGCTCTGCAGGAGAAAGATGCGGTAGTCTCCTTCTGTAAACATTTACAGCCTTGGAAACACTATGGGGCAGTTCTACTCTGTCCTAGAGGGTCACTATGAGTTAGAATTGACTCAATGGAAACAGGTTTGTTTTTGTTTTTTGGTTTTTGGTTTTGGTTTGGTCATTTTTTCTAGGTCAGTCTAACTGAGGTTTTGTCTATTTTGTCAACCATTTCAAAGAACGAATTTTTGTTTCATTAGACTCTCTCTCTTGTTTTTCAGCACTGTATTTTATGGGTTTCCATCCCAATCTTTATTTTCTTCTTTCTGTTTGCTTTAGGTTTAACTTGCTCCTCTTTTCCTGCTTCTGGTTTCTTAAGGTAGAAGCTTAGGTTATTGATTTGAGATCTATTTCTTTTCTAATACAGATATTTCTACTTGGTCTCTTAGAGTACATTAGGTCTTAACGTTATAGGTGTTGGTCTTTGGACTTCTTATGTCTATCTACATTCATTCTGTTGATGATTTTGTCTAGTCTCATGGCTTTAAATACCATCTATATGTTGACAACTCTCTAGGCAGACCTCTCTCCCTCTAAATTTCACACTCATATATCTAATTGCCTCTCACCTTAGGTATTAAACATGTATCTATAATTTAGTAGGACCAAAACTGAACTTCTGCTCCAACTTTGCTCCTTCACCAGTCTTTTCCAATCTGCGTTAATAATAACTCAATTTGTTTAGTCCCAAATCTTAGGATCACTGTTTAACTCTGTCCTTGACTCACTCTTTCTCATATCTCACACTCAATCCATCAGAAAATCCTGTTTGCTCTACCTGCAAAACATATACATAATCCAACTACTTTACTACCTACATTGCAACCACCCTACTCCAAGTCACAATACTCTCTCATCCATATTATGGCCTCATAACTGGTCTCCTTATTTCAACCCTTGCCTCCCTATATCTACTCTCAAAAAAGCATCCAGAGGGATTCTGCAAAAATATAAGTTGAATTACATCACTTCTCTGCTTAAAACCCTCAGATTCAGATTTTACTCTGATTTCTATCAGAAAAAATGTCAGATCCCTTTTGAAGGGTCTATAAACCCTACAAGATCTGGCCTCCAATTACCTGTCTCACCTCATCTCCCACAATGTTCAATCTCCCTCACTTTGCCCTAGCCACACTGTTCCTTGAACACAACAGGCATGCTTCTACCTAAGAGCCCTTTGACTGGCTTCGTGGAATTCCTGCTTCCTGGAATGCTCTTCACCAACATCTGCCCAACTCATCCTTTCTCACTCTCAAGTCTTTGTTCAACTAACATTTTCTCTTTGAGACTGACCCTGGCCTCTGAGGAGTCCAGCTCCAAGCCAAAATCTACGTGTGATGTTTCAGGCCCAACCACAGGCAATTACAAGACTTTGCCTGGTAAGCTTAATGAGGGAAGTTATCCTTCCCACACCAGATTTGGTGCACAGCCACTGCACTGCAGTTTCTGGAGGGAGTTGCAATCAAGGACTCAGGCCTCTCAGACCAGCCATGCTCATGTGCATAGCTGCATTCATAGCCCAGATGCTCCCATTCAGAGTCCTAGTTATCAGGGGCCTCAGCTGAGGCACTTTCAGACACCTCTACCAAGACTTCCTTATCTGGAGCCTTAGATGAGGTACTTTTATCTATTCGGATTCACTACCTTTCTACTCTTAGCCCTCTCCCTTCCCCCAGCCCCACTGGTCCATAAGGCAGGAGCCCTGTGTTTGTCTCAGCAATGAGACAACCCCTCCCCTCACCTGCACTGCATTGATCTGACCCTCACCTGGTGCCATTACACGGGGGAAATGGAACACAGGGAAGCAGCGCCTCTCTTTTTAGACTCTAGCTTGCACTGTCATAGTAAGAGAATAAAGGCTTTATTGTTACTTTCAGTTTGGGTCACTGTCCTAATTGCCCTTGACACCTGGCATCTTGACAGTCACCTCCTTTTAAATTGCTTCCACCACCACTACTCCATGTCCATTACCCTGCTCATTTTTTCCCTATAGCACTAAAGACTTTCAAATATCATGCATATTTTACTTACTATGTCAACTATTTATTGTATATCTCCCCCAATGGAATATGAGCCCTTTAAAGGCAGGGATTATTGTCTGTTTTGTTCATGGATGCATCTCAAGGGATGATAAATACATGGCATATGGTTTAAAAAAAAAAAAAAAAACCACTGCCATTGAGTCAATTCTGACTCATGGCAACCCCATGTTTCAGAGTAGAACTGGGCTCCACCAGGTTTTCAATGACTGTAATCTTACAGAAGTAGATCACCAGGGCTTTCTTCCATGGTGC